ACCGTTTAGAGCATCACGCAAGTAGAAACTCGTGTAGCGGCCGTAATTAGATACCTCGAGGTACCACCGGCGTGGAAGGTGCCTCCGTTCCCCGGTCACTCTAAATCCTTCGACGAAATCACGGCAAGTGGAGAGTGGCTGGGCTCGTCGGCGGCCATAAGGCGTCCACCATTCGCCTCTCGTTTATTAAAACTGACAGTTTACACGAACCGAACAATAATACAGTGTGAGCGCGATGAGAATAGAATATTATATATTAATTTAAAAAGCAGAGAGAGAGAGAGAGAGAGAGAGAGAGAGAAGAAAAGCGAGTTGAACACAGTCGAGTTGAAGGAATCGTCGAAGGGGACGTCACATGTGGGAACGCGCTTTTCATCGCGGTACACGCATAAATTCCAGGCAGAAAATGTTGATGAAATCGGTGGTACACCGTAAAGGAGAGAAAGTTCGATCGCCCTTTTAAAGCGGCCGCACGCTTCGGATTTCTAAATTGCAGATTCGATGAGGCAACGAGCGACGAAACTTTTCATAGGATCGTGAAGCACCGTTTCGTGAAAGATTTAGAGACAGTTCCCCTGCCTCCGCTTCTAATACACTTTGCATAACCTTATTTACCGCCGCGCGATAACTCGAGTTAGGCTACCCGATTGAAATTCCTCCCAGAGGAACGGCCGGTGAACCGCGAAACCTGCAATCTTGCGTAAGACGGTGTGTCGAGGTATCGATGATGGTAATTGATGCGAAGACGAAATCGATAAGTTATTACAGTAGCTACGTACAGTGAGATTTAATCGAAGTTTCGATTCAAATGAAGACGTTTCCTCTTCTCTTCTCGAACACGGATTTTCATTTTGTTGTTATTTGTTATCCGTGCTTATAATCAATTTATAATTTGCCTCGTTTCCTAAATGAAATTAACGCGAATTAAATTTTCCTGAGCTAAATTGTATCGAAGATGAATATATAGGTATACACGTATCGAGGACGGATCCTTGAGGGATTCCAACGTGACCCCTCTTTTAAACGGAACAAAAAGAAACGGGCTGCGGCTCGAAACGTAATATTTGATTGATTGAAAGCCACTTACCTATACCAGCATCTCAATCGCCGATTGTTCTCACCAATTACTGCCTATTTCTACACTATGTGTCCTTTATACCTAGTACCACTCGTTTGCCATCGTACACCTTTCCAAACGAACGAGAATAACGAAATTACGTCACTTATTTCTCCCCTCCCCTCCACTCAAACTTGATACCGTGGTCACCGAGGCAACGAGGCAGAGAATTAACCGACATAAAAGGTTGTTTCGAAACGTTGTACGCGAACCTTCTACGACCGTGGAAAAAAGTCGCGAACATCGTTACGACATTTTCTTGCGAGTATCTATCCATACGAATCGATATAAGCCGATTCTTGTCCCCGATGTCGTATGTACTTTCATCGAGCCGCGGATTTCTTCTCGCGCGTTATATTTATCTTCCTCTTCCTTTCCTTTACGACAAATTAAACGCAGCAATCGATCAATGACGAACAACAATGATGCTCAGAAGGAAGAAAAAACCAAAGAACTTCGTTAATGATAATAGATAATGATAGTAAATACATTGATCTTTCCAACGATAAATAATTTTAAAAGATTATATATTTGGGTGAAACAATGCGATTCCTTCCCTTCGAAAGATCTATCTACAAATCAAGAAGTAGATGAATCGTCCATAATAGATTCGGCAAAAAAAAGATTCGGCATTCTATCTTTCCGACCGGCAAATCGCCCGAAATCGTCCGATTACCCTCGTTATTATAGTCCAAAAAATTCCAGACAGGAGGAAAGAAAGGAATCTTGAGAAAGAAGACGCAGTTTCTCTACCCTCGCATCGTGATCGATTCCCGTGATGATAAAACGAAACGAGGTCAGTGACACGATGCAACAAAGAGAGAAAAAAGGGGAAAAAGAAACCTTTCGCAGAATTTCGTTGCCACCCCGTATGGTTAATTCCATTTCATTACCATTTTCACGAGGCAACGTTCTGGATCCAATGGGAACAGAACCGAAAATTCGCGGTTTCGTTCGAGTGTAGTGTAATTTCGTATTCGGTTTATATATGCGATCCGCCGCCGCCTCGTGCACGGAGGGGTGGCGCCCATCCGTCGAATTGCTGGCCGATTTTATGCACCTGGAATCGACTCAAAGAAACGAAACGAAACGGGAGAAGAGGGAGGGAGAGAAAGGAAAAAACGGTAACGGAGAGCGGTTTAGACGATCCTCTCAAGGAAATGATAGAGAAGAGTTTGCCGGTCGATCCCGATATTTAAACGGAGCACGGTGAGCCATGGTGAAATTTTCGATGAAATTCCACCGGTGGTAAAAAAATATCCTTCGAATCCATGGTTGCAAAAGTTACAGTTGAACTGGAATGGCGGCCAGGCCAGGCCCCGGAGGCTCGTGCCCGTCGATACCCGCCGATTTCCAGTCGTCAAAATATACGTTGGTCCCGTTTCCAACGTTTTGTCTCTACTCCCTGCCTCATTTTAGCCTGTTGCTAATACCTGTTGCCCACCGTTTCCTCCATCCTAGCCGTGGATCCGGCGATTGTTATTGCTGCTGCCGCTTTTGCGTGGCTCCTAGGCTCGAGAGCCGATTAGCCATCAGAGGCAAGATTAGAGCGTGCCACGCTACTCGTTTTCGGGGTTCTCTCTTCGTGTCCTTTTACTTTCGCTTCATCCTTCTTCGCTCGTCTTGGAAACCAATCATCGGGGAGGGGAAGAAGCGTTTCTCTGTCTGCGGATGTAAGCGAATGTCTGTTATGGTAGCGGCTTGTGGGCCAGAGTCGGTGAACCAAGGGGGAGCTGACCGTGCCGTGAGAATCCTTCGAGACTGCATCGTTTCGCGGATTTCTTTTCTTCTTTCGACGGGACGGGAACAGAGATTCCCTTCCTCCCCCCGGATTTTTATTAGAAACGAGTTAGCTCTTCGAAGAAATTCCACCGTTGATGATCTCCGTTTCTCTTAATGGGAGGAATATTCTTCCAATATCTGGATCTTTTCGATGGATAAAGAAATTGAGAAGCGGTAAGGGACGTATCACGAATATGTATATGTTCTTTTACGCGGAAAATGTAATTAAACGTTTCGTAATTGGTATTTAAGAGGCGATCGTTAGACCAATTGGCGCAGAATGAACGGCCGAGGTCAAATTCGTCATGGTGTGGGAGAGGAAAACAAGAGAAAGAGAGAGAAAGAGAGAGAGAGCCACGTGTGATTAGTGTCAACGAGTTGGTGAAAGGAAATTTCTAATTGCATAGACGCGTGTAGACGCGAATGAGAAAAGGATACACCGACGATCTATCTATACGTGGGAGGAGGCAATACGCGTGGGTTTCCGCCCAAAAAAGAGTATCTTTTTTTTTATTCTACAGGATTTTTATTCGATGATGAACAGATTTGAGGTTGAAAGCTCGTTGAAAATGGATCGTATCCTTCTTCGTATAGGTAACCGTGGTTTTTCCCCCTTGGAAAGGGCTTCGAAATCGAGAGATGGAACGGGATTGAATTTAAGCGGTGCATTTGACTCGAACGGTCCACACGCTAGACGCAAACGAATGGACAAACTCGACCATTTTTCAACGACTATTTCTGTTGAACCTTTCGGTAGGAATGCAGCTCGTGTGCACGTGTTACTTTGAATCGCGACATGTTCGTTACGCCAGCTATTGCTTTGCACTCCGCATTATAGACCCGTTTGTACGCCATCTTATTTAAATTCAAATCGAGCAGGTGGCTGACCAGCTTTACGCTGATTAGTGGAACGGTTCTTGCTCGAATCGTAGCTAGTTGTTCTTGGCGTTTCGACTGGTCAGCTCGAAACATCGGTATCTCTAATTGCAAGTTACCGCAGTTATGGCGGATTTCGTTCCATTTCGTTCAACTTTTTACAGCTTTCCCATCTTCCATTTTAGTTTCAAGTAATTTTATCGTTAAAACAAGAAGATTCGATCGTTAATGAAACATTTATAGATCGAAGTGGAGTAATTTGTGAGTCAATAACTTGTTGAAACATCCTCTGATTGTCAATAAAAGTTATTCGATGATATATCAAGTATAACAAATAAAATAATAATTTCGAATATTCGATCGAATGCTCGATCAAAGATCGCGCTCGAGCAATTCTATCTCACTCTACATTCATTTTAGAAAATGAACAGCTGTATACTTCAAAGTAAAACAGACTATGCAACATAGACGGATAAAACAAATAGCATCGAATTAAACATTCCTGTGTAACGAAAAGAAAAACAAACAACATTGATCAAACGTTAAAGTTACTTTTGACGTGACGAGATCCACTCCAATTCCAGACCAATGATACACAAATCGCCGCACAATTTCTCAATCGTTCCGAAAGGTTCGTTCGGAGGAGAGAATGGAAAAAAAGAAATCCAGAAGAGGAAAAGAAAGAAAAAAAACGAAACGAACCGATAGATTCACATTGTGAAAAATAACCGTATAATTATCAGTTAAACATTCCCAACAATCCAAGCTAAAAACTTTCACGAGGCAGAAAAATTACTCAACGACAATTCAAAAAAATAATTTGTGGAAATATGCGCCGACAAATTTCTGCCCCGCGACCGACAACCTTGTCATTATATCATTTTCAGAAAGGAGCAAATATCTGGTTCACCGGAAGACGTGATTTAAGAGCCCGTGTGGATGTCATTACGTGTATCGCGGTTAAATACAATCCCGTGAATATTTGTATCGTGCGAATGTCGATAACCATAGGTTTACCTTTGGCGAAATCATCGATCCTCGGGCCTGGTGCACGCGCGTTTACGCACGATTAACGAAGACCGACCGCTTAAACGGGCACACGGGTCGATACAAAGAAGAATATTCTCTCGGATGTGGTGTATCGATCTTTGCCATGCGAGAACAAGGCGCGTCGATCGAAACGGAAAACGACGTTGGTTTATAATAGCGAAGGTGATACTCTTACCTTAACTACCGGTTTTTCCCTCGGGATTGAATTTGTTCGACCTTGGGCGCCGCGTAATTGGATTTCGTTCGTCCATTCCTCGTCGTCGTCGTCGTCGTCTCGTTTCACAATTATAACGTCGTTTAAGTCGAGTCTGTAAAATATCGTAAATAACGAGTTTAATCGTTCACCGTTTTGCATGCACGCTGATACGAGTACTGTCACGATTGAAAAATGTATATAAAATTGTAAAAGTGGAGATTGCAGCGATTGCAGAGGGGGTAGTCGGGATTTAATAGGAAGTAATCAATGATTGAAAGTTTGATTATAGGGTAATAAATCGCTTTTAAAGGTGATTCTTTGAGCTTGAATTATTCGTTAAAATCTATTTCCAATGTTTCATCGTGGATAATGAAATTCGATTAAAAGGGGAGGGGGGAGAATTGGCTCATTTGTGATATGTTAAAATATAATTTATTCCGATTATTTGCTTTCACAACGATAGAGAAGCGGAAGAGGGAGAGAGAATCGCGGTCCATTTCAACAATTAATACTCGTTTTCACACGGGTCAGTAAACTGACCGAGGAAATTCCGGTATTAATTACGTCATATCAGATCGATGATCCTGCATCCGAGGCAAAGGCCCATTAAATATCCATGACCACTGCCCTCTATCTCGTTGTCAGAGAGACAGGTACGTCTGGTAATCGCATAAGAACATTACAGGGCTTACCTCGCAACCCACTATCGAAGTTTCAGGCCTGGATCGACTCTTGTAATGCATTTAATCGTCGCGCAGAGACAAACGAGGCAAATCCGTCGACACGGACGTCGAATCGCGCCTCTAAGAATTAATAACTGCCGATCGTGTAATCGTTAGTGGGTATTATTATTAATAACGGATCTCGCGCACTACTGATACACCGTCGATACATTCTACTCAACTATGGAACGGTACATTCACGGAATCAAACTGTGTGTTTCCTTCGACTTCTCTGGGGAAATTACATCGATGAAATTATTTCCTAGTAATTACCTCTCTCAGTGATTGACTTCGATTCAGGCATTAAGTGAAATTAAGAACACGTTTAGTGTCGTTTAACTGGAATATTTTATAGGCGTTTAAAAAACGCCTGAAGCAAGAAAAAAAATAAAGAAAAAAGAAAAAATACGATTCCGTTAAAATTACATTAATTCAAAGAAGTAACGAAAAAAAAAAAAAAAAAAGGAATCCCATTCTCGATCCGTTACATCTTTCCTACTGGATTTCAAATACCTCGATTCGAATTTTAAAACTGTTCACGCGAGACACGCGATCTTTCTTGAAAAGAAAAAGATCGTATATACAAGATCTCGGCCGAGGCAAAGCAACGTGACTCTCTCTCTCGCCGGTGGCCCCCAACTTGGTAGCCTTTAACCACCGTGTTTGCTTTCTTCGAGACACGGTTACGGGTTATCGAAAAAGGACATTACCGGTTCGCGTTATTGTGACATAAATATTGAACGGCCGACACGGTTCGACTACCGTGCGCTCTCGAAAAACCTATTTCACCCGATCTTATTGACATTTTCGAACGCTCGGTTATCCGGATCGAATCCGACCGCGTAAATTATTAATAAGCCATTGATACGCAACACTGGGGCCCAGATACCATTTCGCCGCCCGATAACCGACGCTTTACGGGTGTTTTACGATCCGCCGTTCTTTTATTTAACAGAAGAGAAAACTACGCGTTAACGAACGACGCCGTTACGACCGCCGATTCCCCGATACTTTTCGCGCCACCGACTATGCGCGTTTTATTTACTGCTCGGCGAATAATATTTCCAGTCGGGGAAAAATTTGTTTTCGATGAATATTTTATATCGTCGTGGGGCCATGCGATACGAGGAAATTCTTGTTCACGTACGTTTCCTCTTTTTTTTTTCTTTTTTTCCTTTTTTTTTTCCTTTTTTTTTTTTTTTTTTTTTTTCC